TCAGACAGGGCAAGATATGACAAAATAATAATTTATAAATTATCAAGGGTTCATGAGGGAGGGGGTAGCAAGGAGGGAGGGGAAAAATGAGGACCCGATGCCAGGGGCTAAAGTGGAGAGCAAATGTTTTGAGAATGATGAGGGCAATGAATGTACAAATGTGCTTAACACAATTGATATTAGTATGGATTGTGATAAGAGTTGTATGAGCCCCTAATAAAATGATTTAAAAAAAAGACATCTCGGCTCCAGCACCTTCCAGGTTCTGATCGAATTCTATCGTTTTACAAGGTGGTGCTGTTGGTGGGAGAAGGAGGGATATACAGGCTCTTTCTGAATTATTTCTTACCATTGTCTGTGAAGCTATCATTTCAAAATAAAATATTCAATTAAAAAATAAAATTTGTAAGGATTTGGGTCTAATCTGAATCTTGGACATTTTCCCAGCAAGGTTCTAGTATTTCCACATTCGCACGCACACATACACACTGACTCACAGTGACTGTGAGGACAGAGTAGAACTGTCCCGTGGGTTTCCCAGACTATAAATCTTTATGGGAGTAGAAGCCTCATCTTTCTCTGCTGACTGTGCACTTCCAGGCTGCCTTTCTCGTCATGGTCTCATGGATGTGTATACCGTGTATGCTGTCACATGACTAGATCTGTAATGTGATCGGGGTATCTTCTTACAGGACCTGCCATAGCAAGCGAATGGCAACAGCGTTGTCTTTGTTGTGGCTTTGAGGACTGGTACGGTGTTGGAGGGATAGCTGAAGGAGTACACTCTTATCGGTAACAGAAGTACAGCCAGAACGTTCCTTAGAAGTGAGGGGGAGGAGATTGCGGCTCGTGTACTTCGGACACGTTAGCAGGAGGGACCAGTTCTCAGAAAAGAACATTGTGCTTTGTGAGCTAGAAAGATGATGACCGAGCAAGGACTGTGGCTGTGCGAGTGCTCAGCACGGCAGCGCTTACTCGGATGGCGCTGGACTGACGTGGTGTCCTTCTCCGCCCTTCAGCTCACACTCTGAGTACAGCTGGCCGTCGCCCGCAGCAGCAGCAGGCCCCATCTCCAAATGCAAACTCCTCCTTTTTCGTAGTGGAAAGCCTACCACCTTCAGAATCACCCCTTGCTCCATTTTATCATTGAAAGCTGAAGCCAAATCTACGAGGATGTTTAAAAAAACCTCATGGGAAAAACAGAATCGAATGAGATTGGAAACGCCCCACAAACTTTCTGAAGCCCATCGTATATTAGAGAGAGGGTTAGGGTTAGCGGCACCCTCGCAGGTCCGGAGGAGCCTGGTCAAGGAGTGTGGGAAAACGGCAAATCGATTTGGGCTTGTTTATGGTTCTTGCTGGAAAGGGAAGGAGGGCCTGCCGCAGGCGGGGACTTCAGTACCAGTGCTGGTGTGAGGTGTGTTGAGCCAGCCCAGACTCAGAACAACGTGCCTGTGGCAGAACGAACCTCCTCCCGCTCCTGCGCCCTCCTCCTGGTGGTGATGTCTGAGCCCCTCCTGGCAGCCACTGGGTCGGGTTGCTTGTCTGCAGAGAACCTGCAGGCCCTCTCTTGATTTAGTGGCACCCCGGGACCTCGTTCACACCACACCCGTGTTATAACTGGATTTTCTGTTCACTGCAGGGCCTTGCTAGCACATTTCTGAGTATTTTGTTTAACCATCTGAAGAATTCAGAGGAACTGCTGCGTGGCCCCGGGCAGGAAGAGCTGATCTTCTGAAGGCGTACGTGAGTGTTTTCTGTGGGGACGCTTGCTCACAATACGCGAGGGAAACCTTAAATGAACTGTGGCCTGGCTCCCAGGCAGTTTCAGTTCCGTGATCAAGATGAAAAATGTTATCTAGCTTCGGGCTTATTAAATTTGGAGGTAAGGTTAGCAGTTTCCCAGGGACAGAAGGAAATGCACAAAATACCCTACATTTATTCTCACTTTAAAAAAAGACAAGAAAGGCTTGTGTTGACTGAGCCAACATTCAGAAGAATCCCAGTCTGCAAGCCACAAGAATTCTTGCTGTTTGAACCAAGAACACCAACTAGATTGTATTTCATTATCTCGTCTTAGAGGATTTTAAAATTTGCTTTTAAAAAAAAGATTTGGGAGTGCTCTGCCTGCATTCAGATTCAATCCAATGAAAACTAGGGGAAAATAAGGAAATCACCCCAAAAAGGGATTCTTGGCTATACCATTGAATAATTTGTTCTCGTCGTGTAAATTTCTTTAAAAATCATCATATCATACCATAACCTAAAGTTCTTTTTATGTTGATCTATCTCTGTAATTCTTCATCAGAAGCAAGCTTGACCTTATTCCGACTTAGCCCTTTGCAGCCCCTTTTCACCTTTCCTAGCTGATGGGCAAGTAGGTTGTGTGATTCCTATCTCCGCCGTCTTCTCCAGTTTGTCTCCTTTTCTCTGCTGCATCTTTAGATCAGATGATCACTGCTTATTGCCTTGATTATTTTAATGACCTACTGATTGGTCATCCTGTCTGTAGCCCTTGTCTCCCTCCAACCCGATGATGGTATTGTCATCTTTCTGAAAGACTAGTCTGACTGCAAGGTATTCCTTGACTTAACATCCATTCCTTGATTTAAAATCCCTCGGTGGCTCCTCGTTGAAATTCAGGTATAGTGAACCTTAGCTTGGCATTGCTTGGACTGGAAAATAATGCTCATCACAAACCCTACTGTGGTGCTTAGTTCAGAAAAGATGGTCAGAATTGCTGCTTTGCTGTTCTGCAAGAGAACCTGTGGGGTTCAGGTGGCTGCAGAGCTTTGGTGCAAGTCCACACAGGGCTAGAAGGAAACGGCTCGGCTGGAAAACCAGGCTAGAGGAATTAGGGGCCAAGGTTCTTGCCAAATTCAGCGGCAGTACTTTCCCCGAATTTCCTTGTGGTTAGGCCAAGCATCTAAGCTCTTTAGGGTTCTGGAAAGATCTTTGCCTGACAGACTATTCAAGCCAAGCCCATCTGTGCCTAAACTTTTGTAACTTCAGAGAAAGAAAGGCATCTCAGTCAGCACATTAGTCTCTGCCTTTGTGTCTTGTTTTCTCTTGAATTTCTTAGGCACGGTTTTTGCTTTGTTTTGGACAGGCTTTCATTTTTCCATCAAGGAACCAAAGAGAAAGAGCGCCAGTGTAGCTAGAAGGAGTGGGCTGTTCTAAGCGCAGAGTCAGTGGGTGAGACGGTTGGTCAGAGAGACACAGGAGGACTGCTGCCTTTGTCCCAGCTGCACATTCGCTCACAGCCCTGCTTCTCTGAGAACCACAGAGCAGAGCCGAGTAGCATTGCTACTGTAAAAAGAGGGACTGTCTGAATTGGTTTCATGGAATTTCCTGCTTTTAAATTCTATCTGTTACTTTCCTCTCGTAAAACTTGAAGTGACTTTGTACTATAAACACAGTGTCCCAGCAGGCCCTTCTACTTCCCCTGCACGAGTCAGCTCCAGCTTATACACAGGACAGGGTAGAGCTGCCCCCGTGGGTTTCTGAGACTGTGACTCATCTTCCTCCTGAGTGGTGGGCAGTGGTTTCGAACTGCTGACCCAGGGAGTAGCAGCCCAACAAGTAACCCACTAGAGCACCAGGGCTCCCTATGAGTCAGAATCGGTTTGAAGGCAGTGATATGGAAGAGAATTGCTTTATTCAATCAGGGTGCTCGTCATTAGCATTTCTCTGTAAAGGGCACCCTCTGAAGTGTAAGGGTCATCTACAGATGTCTGCTGACAGTGCAGTCCATGGCAGTCACATCCCGTCTATTGCACTCACCATTTAAAAGAGCTCAGTCTGTTGAGTTGTGAAAGGCAACATAGAGCTTTGGAATACTTTGATTACAATTTTGATGCAAATTTGAAGGAAACAAGATCACATTTTAGTGGACAATGAAATGCGATCGATAGCTTTGCTGTTGTTATTTGCTGAGGTAATTTATTAGCAGCAGGGAGCCGAAAGGCTGAGAGTAGTGCTTTCACCATGCTTCCAGAGGCTTGATTTCGTTGACGTCACTGTCACCTCGCTCCTGTGCTATTACAGGTGGGGTCATCAGCCACACCACCTCGGAGCAATGTCCTACGTGTTTGTGAACGATTCCTCTCAGACGAACGTCCCCTTGCTCCAAGCCTGCATCGATGGCGACTTTAACTATTCCAACCGGCTTTTGGAAAGCGGCTTCGACCCCAATATCCGGGACAGCAGGGGCAGGACGGGCCTTCACCTGGCCGCAGCCCGAGGGAACGTCGACATCTGCCAGTTGCTGCACAAGTTCGGTGCTGACCTTCTGGCCACAGAATACCAAGGAAACACGGCCCTTCACCTCTGTGGCCACGTGGACACCATCCAGTTCCTGGTTTCCAACGGACTCAAAATTGACATCTGGTAAGTGCCCTGGTGTCTGACGCCGAGTCCTTGCTTCCAGTTAGTAGCCCTGAGGACGGAGAGTATGCTCAGAGACTGAGGACTGACGCTGGACTGACGTGGAAGCAGGAGAGGGGACTTCAAAAGATCGTGGAAAATGGAATTTAAATCCCAGAGATTCTTTTCTCCCTCATATATTGTTTTCTATGAAACTAGCGGACAGTTTCTACCACTCATTAATTATGTAGCAGCGATGTCATACAGGGAAAAGATGGCAGCAACTCTTTGTTGAAAATCTTATGTGGGCTGGACCTCAGGGTTACATAAGGTTGGCTCTTTTTGCCCTCAAACGAAATCGCCCTTCCAGCAGGTAAGTGTTACCTTCCTTTTAGAGGCAAGGGATTCAGTGACTTTACAGAGGTCACCTAGCCTGTAAGTGACAGCTCCACTTTGAACCTAGCTCGTCCGCCTGATCCAGAGCTGCTGTGTCTGTCATCCCCCATGTTAGCCACGCCGCCTCTGGGTCCTTTCAGTACAGAAGACTTTGAGGAGGTTGTGTGTTTTTAAATGTGTTTCCGTTTAATGGCACCGGTAACTAGACTAGAACCATGTCCGTCTCCCTTTGAACCACAGTCTGATGCTGCCTGAATTGGGTAGCTGCTTTCCTGTCCCTGAATCTGAAC